AAGCAGGCTTCCTGCTGAGCAGGGAGCCTGATGCAGGGCTTGATCCTAGGACCCTGGGATCATGAGCTGAGCTGAAGGCAGATGCTAACAAGTGAGTCACCCAGCATTACTTACAATAGCCAAGGTAAGGAAGCAGTTCAAGTGTTCATTGACTGATGAATGGATAAAGATGTCACCCCCCCCACACAGACACAATGAATATTACTCAGCCATAAAAAAGAATGAAATTTTGCCATGTGCAACAACATAGATGGACCTAGAGAGTATTATACTAAGTGAAATAAGTCAGTCAGAGAAAGACAAATATCGTATGATTTCACTCACATGTGGAATTTGAGAAACAAAACAGACTAACAAAGAGAAAAGACAAATAAAAAAACCCCAGACTCTTAAATACAGAAAACTGGTGGCTGCCAGAGGGGAGGTGAGTGTGGGGGAGAGGGTGAAATAGAAAAGGGGGATCAAGAGTATACTTACCTTGATGAGCATGGAGAAATGTATAAATTGTGGAACTGGGTGCCTGGGTGGCTCAGTCATTTAAGCGTCTACCTTTGGCTCAGGTAATGATCCCAGGGCCCTGGGATTGAGCCCTGCATTGGGCTCCCTGCTCAGCAGGGAGTCTGCTTCTTCCTCTCCCTCTCCTTCTGCCTCTCCCCTGGCTTGTGCTCTCTCTCTCAAATAAATAAAATCTTTAAAAAAAAAAGAATTGTGGAATCACTGTATTGTACACCTGAAACTACTATAACACTGTATGTTAATTATACTTCAATTAAAAAAAAAAGAAAAACAAGACAAAAATAAATTCAAAAAAATCTTCTAACAAAGAGCTGGCCAACACCTAGATCACTTCATTGGTGAATTTTATAATACACTTAAGAGTTAACACCAATCCTGGGGCACCTGGGTGGCTCAGTTGGTTAAGCATCTGACTCTTGATTTCGGTTCTGGTCATGATCTCGGGGTTGTGAGATCAAGCTCCATGCTGGACTCCACACTCAGCATGGAGTCTGCTTGGGATTCTCTCTCTCTCCAACCTGCCCCTCCCCCCATTTGTACACACACACTCTAAAATAAATTTTAAAGTCTTAAAAAAAAAGAGTTAACACCAATCCTTCTCAAACTTCTCTAAAACATACCTGAGAAGTTAAAAATTGCTAACTCATTTGAAAAGACCATTATTACCCTGATACCAAAGCCAGACAGAGGTTCCACAAGAAAACTAGAAACCAGTATCCTGGGCGCCTGGGTGGCTCAGATGGTTAAGGGTCTGCCTTCGGCTCAGGTCATGATCCCAGGGTCCTGGGATCGAGTCCCGCATCGGGCTCCCTGCTCCTTGGGAGCCTGCTTCTCTCTGTCTCTCATGAATAAATAAACAAAATCTTAAAAAAAAAAAAAACCAGTATCCCTTATGAACTCTGATTCAAAAATTCTCAACAAAATACTAGCAAACAGAATCCAACAGCATAGTAAAAGGATTACTCACCATGGACAAGCAGGATTTATCCCAGCAATGCTGGGATGGTTCAACACCTAAATATCAATCATTATAATTCACATTCATAAATGAAGAAGAAAAACCACAAGTTCATCTCAATTAATGCAAAAAAATCATTTGACAACTCTATGATGATAAAAATCTCAGCAAACTAAGAACAGAAGGGAACTTTATCAACATGATAAAAGGACATTTATGTAAATGTCCCACAGCTGAGAAGATACTCAACAGTGAAAGAGGAAAATGTCCCCCTAAAGATGAGGAACAAACAAGGATGCTCACATTTACCATTGTTACTCAACATTGTACTGCATGTTCTAGCCAGAGCAATTAGGCAAGAAAAAAGAAATAAAAGCAAATTAGAAAAGAGGAAGTTAAACTATTATCAGATGATGTGATCCTACATATAGTAAACCCCCAAAATCTTGATACTATTCATATTTCCTTATAATCAGTACAGATGTCTTCTTTTATTTCCTGGTTTCCAAACAAGTATTTTTACTTACCCAAGAATCACAGGGTTGCTGTTTGGAGACAAGATATGGCTTAAACATGTAGTCCCCCATGTGTAATGAGATCATTTATCATCCTGAGCCGTTGTGCAAATGTCTCTGAAAGCTGTATACAGTAACTTTTTACCACATTCTCATGGGTTTGGATACAATTTCAAGCAGACAGCTTTGAAACTGGACTGATACACAGTCATCTTGTAACAAGGATCTTTTACTGACATGAAAACTAGTTGTTAAAAAACAGGGTTTCCCATAACATGGGGATCTAGTCAATACATCCCAAATTATCAAGACAAGCAAAAATGATGGTTAATTTGTTGTTAAACAATATATTTTAATCAACACCAAGGTAGTTTGTTCTGGTTGTTTTTGTGTTTAGCAAAAAATATTTACTAGATCATGTGTATACTGGATTTTCACATACATGATCACTTATTTTTCTTTTGAGATGAAATTTCTTTTAATATAATACCATTTGTTGAGAATGTAATGGTTTATTCTATTTTTTTAAGATTTTATTTATTTATTTGAGAGAGAGCACATGAGAGGGGGGAGGCTCGGAGGGAGAAGCAGACTCCCTGCAGAGCAGGGAGCCCGATGCGGGACTCGATCCAGGGACTCCAGGATCATGACCTGAGCTGAAGGCAGTCGCTTATATAATGGTTTATTCTTAATATCATAATGCATTCAACCAAATATTATCAGAAATACTTTGTCGAGTAGTATAATGAATTATTTCATGAGGTGAACATTTTGTTTCTGAAACTACACTTTGGGAAAAAATTTAAATGTTTCATATTCCTAAGATGATTATTTTTCTTTTTTATTCTTATGTTAATCCCCATACATTACATCATTAGTTTTAGAT